CACTTGAGGCCAGGAGTTTGAGACCAGCCTGGGCAATAGCAAGACTTCGTCTCTACAAAAAATAATAAAAAACTTACGCGGGCATGGTGGCACATACCTGTAGCTACTCGGGAGGCTGAGGCAGGGGGATCGCTTGAGCCCGGGAGTTTAAGGTTGCAATGAGCTGTGATGATGCCACTGCACTCCAGCCTGGGCAAAAGAGACAGACCCTGTCTCAAAAAAAGAAAAAAGAAAGAAAGAAATGAGGTGGAAGCTGAGCCACCTGTGGGCACCCCTCCCTCCCATGCCTGCTGGGCACCAGGACTTCTGCAGACGCTACTTTGTGACAAAGTGAGCTTTAGGATGGTCCGTATTTGCTGCCACTGCAAATTTTTATCATCAGCCATATGACTGTTCCCATTTTACAGATGAGCAAACTGAGGCTTGGGGAGGCAAAGGCGTGTAGAGGGCAGAACCAGACTTGGAACTCCGGTTTGGGTGATGCCACGGCACAGGCCCTGCCCCTTGGGGGTCTCACCAATGTCCCCGCCTTATGCCCATCCAGGTTTTGAGTTCTTTGAGGCCAGCGCCAAGGAGAACGTCAACGTGAAGCAGGTGTTCGAGCGCCTGGTGGATGTCATCTGCGAGAAGATGAATGAGTCCCTGGAACCCAGCTCCAGCCCAGGCAGCAACGGGAAAGGCCCGGCCCTGGGGGATGCCCCGCCCCCACAGCCCAGCAGCTGCAGCTGCTAGAGATGGTCCCCAACTCCCGTCCACCCCCCTCCTGCCTTGGCAGGGACTGCAACCCAGGCATGAGCCACAAGGGCTGTCTTCAAGCTCAGGGTGACCCCTTCCCTCCTGTCAGCTGCCCCCCACTCCCGCATGGCTCACGTCCAGCCTGCCTGCTCAGGCAGCCCAGACCCGAGGTCACAGACCCTGGGACTCAACTTTGCATTGGAGGCCTGGGGACATTGGCATGCACGAGTTCGCTGCTTTTCTAGGTGCGTTAAGGAGTGTAGCCGTGGTGGCGTGTCCCGCTGCCGTGATGGAAGGGCATCCTCAGTGCCTTCTGGGTTAGAACCGTTTGCCGGGTCTCAGTGCCATCCCTGAGGCTGCCCCGTGAACCTTCTAGACTCCAAGGCGGCATGGCGATTTTGGCCCCCCGCAGACCTTCTCCTTGTGAAAGCAGTATTAAAACAGCTTTTCCCATTGCAGAAGGGACACCGGGAGTCACACCCCTCCACCCCGGTTTCAGGGACGCCAAAGTGCCTTCCAAGTGTCCCAGAATCCACATCACCCACGACCCTGCCACTGTTTCGCTGTAGCCACTGCATTTCTGATCCTGAATTGAATTCTGGAACTGTGGGGCCGTATCAGGTGGGGGCAGAGACTTGCCTAACCCTGCATTCCCGCTCGGGCTTTCTGCCAGGAGACTGGGCCCTTCCACCCAGGCCCTGTTCGGCTGGTTGCGTTTTAAGCAAGGTCTTTCTAAATCGTACATCCTGCTAGAAGAGGAAATTTTGCAATGTTGCCACCCGCGGCCTGCGCTGGCCAGCAATTTTCCAATGTAAGAATGTGGGCTTTTCTGACCTGTGGACCCTTGCAAGACCTGGTGTTCGTTTCCCAAGCCGTGTCATCGGCAGGTCCTTGGGATGTGACTTTTTTGCTAATGGAGGGGTCGCTTCTAGGGAGTGCTTGGGGTTGGGCGAGGAGGTGGAGTTGTGTAACCTGCTGTCGCTGCTTGTATTTCATGCACACAGCTTGGGAGGGGCAGGTCCTCATGTTGACGGGGGCGTGGGCTGTGATGAGTGTCGGGGACTTCACGAGGCTGGGCTCCCCAGCTGCCAGGGGCTCTTGCTTGGAGGTTATGTGCAGTTTGGGGATCTATGCCTTGATCCCCCAGCTTGGTGGCCCTCCTGCCCATTAAAATCCAAACTCTGGTGGTGCAACACCTCTATCTGTCCCCAAGTGCCACCTGACGCCCCATACTATGACCGACACTGTGAAGATGGCCGGGCAGATGCTTCATACCCCCGTCTCCCTAACTCTACATCGGGGGCTGCTCCCACTCCCCCAGCCCCTGCAGCCAAAAGGACTTCCTGCAGCCTTAAACATCTCAGCCTCCTCCTGGGGGTGTGTGTGAAGGGGAAGGCCTGATTCAAGTTCAAGTTGATTTCTAGGGAGCCCCGATTGCTCTATACCAGAGGCTGCCCTTAGAACGTCAAAGCGAGGATATCTTTATAGACTAACAAATTCAGTGACCAAGGTGTGAAATGGATAAATTCTGTGAACACAGCAAGGGTATCTGAGTATTTGGGGGCAAGAATCCAAATGTTTTAGTTGCTTTAACACTAAAGTCAAATTATAAAAAAAAAAAAAAAAAAGACATCTTAAGATACAAGATGGTCAGTCCATTGTCTCAAATTTGCTGCCAAAAATGTGGTAGATCAGATTGCTGTGAACGGGACTGAGCCAACTTGGAATTGCCTGTGCAATAAAAGACGGCTTTGGCTGCATCTTGGACTTGACAACGGCCTTCGCTTTGTGATTACATAAGATCTTTCAACAGTTCAGCTTCAAGTAGCAACTGAGAGAGCTGCCTTGGGGTCCTCTCAAGACTGGGAATCATGTTGGGGAGAAAAAAATTTTTTGTTCTAAAAATAAGGCAAGTTTTAAATTATGATTGTGGGGCAGAGGTTTAAATTCAGGTTGGCGTCTGGGGGACCGAAACTGATGTGCTCCCATCATCACCTTGCGGGGTTGGAGGCTTGCTGAGTTTATAGACAGAGATTAAACCAAAGGCCATGGGAAAACCACTTCCCACCTCCGGGGGGTACCGAGGCAGGAAGCAGCCACCTATCAGTGCCTTCCTTCTTAACCTTTGCTTTTAGTGTGTTGTCTTGCCATGGGCAGTTTTGGTGGGAAATTGCCAGGAACCCAATGGTTTGGGAGTTCTGCTGTTTTTCTTTTCTTTCTTTCTTTCTTTTTTTTTTTTTT